GCTCAAGCGAGTCTCCTGCCTCCGCCTCCCAAGTAGCTGGGACCACAGGCGCCCGCCACAACGCCCGGCTATTTTTTGGTTGCAGCCTTCATTGTTGTTTTGGCGGGTCTGGGCTGGGGATTCGAACCCACCACCTTAGGTGTACATGGCTGGCGCCTTAGCCGGTTGAGCTATAGGCGCTGAGCCATCAGATAATTTTTATATTTTAAGATATGGATTTACCAACTGTGACCTGCTATTTTTCCACTGTATATAAACATTTGAAGTTTGGGTGATTCCCATCATGCACAACTGGGCCAGAAGACATATATTTTTCTTTTCTTTGTTTTGTTTTTGTTTTGAGACAGAGTCTCTGTCACCTAGGCTAGAGTGCTATGTAGTCTGCATAGCTTATAGCAACCTCAAGTTCCTGGGCTCAAGCAATCCTCCTGCCTCAGCCTCCAGAGTAGCTGAGACTACAGATGCTGGCCAGGACACCCAGTTAATTTTTTCTTTTTAGTAGAGACAGGTCTCCCCCTTGCTCAGGCTGGTCTGGAACTCTTGAACTCAAGGCATCCTTCTGCCTCACCTCTGCCTCCCAGAGTGCTACGATTACAGACCTGAGTTATCGCACTCAGTCTGTTTCTTGTTTAATTTTTCTTTTGAAATGAAACCATTTTCTTTTTCTAAATTTTATTTACCAGTAGGTAAGTGTTTCCAATAGACTGCTTTTTGAATGTTTTCCAAAGTCTATACAGATTTATTGGCTTCTTCGTTAACTGTTCCTACCTTTTGTTACTATTTTAAAAAAGACTTTACAACCCTAAATTCTTCTTTCCTATAACTGATGACTCAGCTGTACAATCAGTTCACTCCAAACACACAAGCATGATAGGGCCTTTTTCTTTTACAGGAAACTCAGCTCTGTATTTATTTGAGTGCTATGATACCAGAACTGAAAGTTGGCACACTAAGCCTAGCATGCTAACTCAGCGCTGCAGCCACGGGATGGTGGAAGCCAATGGCTTGATCTATGTTTGTGGCGGAAGTTTAGGGAACAATGTTTCTGGGAGAGTGCTTAATTCCTGTGAAGTTTATGATCCTGCCACAGAAACGTACGTATCCTTTTAAGACTCTTATTTCACCGTAAATTATATTCTGTAATATAATTGGTAAGAGAAGATATCAAAAGTCAGAACCCATCAGAAAAATTCAGTTCTTGTTTGTTTGTGTGTTTTTTTGGTTGTTTTTGTTTGTTTAAGATAGTCTCACTATGTCGCCCTGGGTAGAGTGCTATGGCGTCACAGCTCACAGCAACGTCAAACTCCTAGGTTTAAGCAATTCTCTTGCCTTAGCCTCACAAGCAGCTGGGACCACAAGCATGCACCGCAACACCTGGCTATTTTTTTTGCAGTTGTCATTGTTGTTTTAGCTGTCCCAGGCCGGGTTTGAACCTGCCAGCCTTGGTGTATGTGGCCAGTGCTGTAACCACTGTGCTCCGGTCATCAAGCCTGTCTGTCTGTTTTGAGACAGGTTCTTGTTTTGTTTCCCAGACTGAAGTGCAGTAGTAGCACAGTCATAGCTCACTCTAACCTTCATCTCCTGAGCTCAAGAGTTCCTCCCTCCTCTGCTTCCTAAGTAGTTGAGACTACAGATACCTGCCACCATGCCCAGCCCCCCAAAATTTTTTTTTAATTTTCCAAGATGAGGGCCTTGCTAGGTTGCCTATACTGAGCTCAACCTCTTTGCCTCAAGCAATCACTCTGCCTCAGCCTTTAGAGTGGCTGGGATTACAGGGACAAGCCACTGTGCCCAACAAGAATATATTAGCAGTTCTTGAGGAAGAATGTACATAAACTTTTGAATGTGTTTGTGTCAGTGGCTACTTAAAATCTGTACCCTTCCTTAATACCTTAAGAAATGACTTGACCCTATGCCCCATGGGAGCCCCTCTCTTTCTGGTCCTCTGTGTGCAGCAGATGTCTATGAATAAGATATGATTTGTCAAAGTCATGAAATATTTGTGTCTCCAAGGTGAGGAAATGGGGGGGGGCTTATGACTAGTAGTAAATTTTCCCTTAAGTAGAAATATTACATATTGGTTCATGGCATTAATAAATCATGCAAAATAAAATTACTCCTAAAACAACTAGGAAACAGCTACTTTGAAAACAGCAAAATGCTGAAGAAATAAATGGGTAATAAGTTTTTCTGTCCTTGGAAAGCCCATTGAAGGGGTCCAAATAACTGAATACTAAGTGGGGGGTGGTTAAATGCATAGTAAAGCTAATGAGAAAATAAAATAGATGATATCCCAGTCATACCATTTGTAAATATAGCCAAAGAGCTTTATTAAGAAAAGTCACTTAATGATATGGCCTGATTGCCTATTTGTCCTTTACCAGAACAATTTATTGGGTGAATATGTTCAATTTGAATGTTAATCCAAAAAATTGCACCAAAACTCTTGTGCTTTAAGCTTTATATTTAGGAAATATTGCCAGACTATAAAACATAGAAGTCTTCCACTCCAGCTACTGCTTCTTTTTCTTTTTGAGATAAACACTTAATTATTAAAAGTGATCATTTATGCATATAAATCTATACTTATCTATTTGCGCCTGCTGCTTATTTTAAAAGGATTTAAGGAAACATAATTCTTTCCCAAATAAAAAAGCTGTTACAATTGTTCTTTTCTGGGCCAGGCAACTCTAAGAGGCCAGCACAGGTGGATCCCTTGAGCTCAGGAGCTAGAGAGCAGCCTGAGCAAGAGCAAGACCCCATTTCTACTAAAAACTAGCCAGGTATTGTGGTGGGTGTCTATAATCCCAGCTACTCAGGAGGCTGAGGCAAGAAGATCACTTGAGTCCAAGAGTTTGAGGTTGCTGTGAGCTCTGACACCACAGCACACTACCCCAGGGTGATGGAGACTCTTATCTCAAAAATTAAAAAAAAAAATTACTTTTTTCTCCTTTTTTGCTCAACTAATTGCCAATGCAAGGAAAAGAAGTGAAAGCAACTTGTCTTGAAATTTATCTTTTGTTAGAGTGTAGAGACTACAAAATCTCTTAAGGTATCAAATGTACTGTTTACTAGTATTTTTCAAAATATACTTTGCACTTGCCAGGGCAATCTGAGGCTATCCTTTATCCATATCCTATTATACATCAACTCATCTATATATCTACCCCCATCTTGTCCCAAACCACAGACAGAGAGATATATACCAACTATCTTCCCTTCTGTATGAACCTCTACCTTACTTAAACCCTATACTCAAAAGGTATTACAGCGTACTTGGAAAATTGTAGACTGATTCATCCTGCTGCCTAATTATTTTTTTCATTTCTAAAAAAAATCTTAGTGCTTGCTTCGGCAGCACATATACTAAAATTGGAATGATACAGAGAAGATTAGCATGGCCCCTGCACAAGGATGACATGCAAATTCATGAAGCATTTCATATTTTTATGAAAACAAAAATCTCTTAACGTGGAAACTACAGCTATGTAACCTAAAGATGCAGGCAGTATCATTGGAAATCAATGTATTTTTGTTCATAGTAGCAGAGAAAAAGTGTAAAGGAATTCTGCAGCCTCTATTTTTTAGAACTAAGTGAATATTCTGTTACAGAAATATTTAAAAATTTAGAAGATCTAGCATTTCTTTTGTATATATTGAACTTACGTTAAGTTCAAAACTTAAATTTGAATTCTCTGTTCTTTTCACTAAGTTGTCATAAATGAAATGAGCTAACCAACTCTCAAATAAGTTATATACTATTATGATTTCCTGTATAAAATGCAATTTAGCTGTCTGTAAGATTTTTTTTTTAGAGAAGGGGTCTTATTCTGTTGCCCAGGCCATAGTGCAGTGGCATGATTATAGCACACTATAAACTAGTTGATTTTTTCTTAAGAATTTCCTTCCCAATTTTGACATTTTTCTTAAGTGTTTTATAACTAGAAAGTGTTTAATTAAGCCTATAGACCACAGAAAAACAAGTATCACATATTTTCACTCACACGTGGCACCTAAAAAAGTTGATCTCATGAGGTACAGAGAAGAGTGGAAGTTGCCAGAGGCTGGGTAAGATGGAGGGTGAGGAGAGGCGTTTTCGTGGGCACTGATGTACAGTCAGAAAGAATATCAGTTTTTAAGAAAGGAGTAAGAGGAACTCATAATAAGACCCTTTTTTTTTATTTTTTTATTTTTTTGAGACAGAACCTCAAGCTGTCACCCTGGGTAGAGTGCTGTGGCATCACAGCTCACAGCAACCTCCAACTCCTGGGCTCAAACAGTTCTCCTGCCTCAGCCCCCCAAGTAGCTGGGACCACAGGCACCCATCACAACACCTGGCTATTTTTTGACTGCAGCCGTCATTGCTGTTTGGCAGGCCCGGGCTGGATTCGAACCCACCAGCTTAGGTGTATATGGCCGGTGCCTTAGCCGCTTGAGCCATAGGCGCCAAGCCCATAAGACCATTTTAAAGGAAAAATCTGAAGAAAGGAAAAGAAATTAAACTGAGGAAAACAACATAGTTTGCATAGTCAGAATGTTAAGAAAAACTTCTAAACATTAGACCTCAGATTGTTTTGAAGTGACAAGCCTCACTGAAAAAATTAAACAGTGTATTTCAGATCGGAGAGAACAGAAACCCAGTACACACTGTGCATGTGAATTATAGGAGGAAGGAGAATTTGGGAAACTTGTAAAGCTTCAGTAGATGTGAGGATACATGAAAATATGCTCTCCCTTTATGTCATTGACAGTATTTGGAAAAGAGGTATGTAAATTGAATTTTTCTAAGTCAAATACTGTGTTCAATGCACAATGGACAGCTCATGCTGTAGAGCTCACGATGGCGTGGAGAAGCAGTGGAGACCTGGGCCTTCCCAGCTTTCCCACTTCTGTGCTACTCATCTCAGCTGGATGAGCTGAGTACCCACCTCACCCTGCAGAGTACACTCAAGTGAGTGGTGACTGCCAAACCACTGTTAAAACAAAAAGCAATACATAAATGTAAGGCAACAAAAGAATTGTTAATACTTCAGAGTTGATCATTATGATCTAATTATGTTTTATAAAGTTACAGTTATCAAATTGTTTTAAAGAAAAGATATAGGCTGGGTGTGGTGGCTTGTGCCTGTAATCGTAGCACTCTGGGCAGCCAAGGCAGGCAGCCTGAGCTAGAGGGTGACCCTGTCTCTACTAAAAATAGAAGCATTAGCCAGGTGTTATGGTGGGCACAAAATAGGGAGGCTAAGGCAAGAGGATCACTTGAGCCCAGGAGTTTGAGATTGCAGTGAGCTAAGATGATGCCGTTGCATTCTACTGTGGGCAACAGAGTCAGACTGTGTCTCAAAAAAATAAATAAAAAATAAATTATATACACACACACGTGTATGTATATGTTACATATATATATATATACATACATATACATATATATATATATATATATAGTATATGAGCATTAAGAACACAAGCCTGTATGCCAGTACCACCTTCATGATCACAAATGTCAGACACGGGACCATATTCAGAAGAGACAGGAGATTTAACCTCAGAAAAAGTAACATCATTACATCATGATCTGGGTATATGTGTGGTGCCTCTACCTGTGAATTAATATCCTTTAACAATATCCTTTAACATTTCTGTCCACATTTTATATTTTCAGTTTTGTTATTTATAATAATGATTATGAACAGAGAAAAATAATATAAATTATGGAACTTCACAGAATAACAGTTCTTTTTTATCAGAGCTGTATGAAGTTTTAGTATAGATTTAAAGATAAATGTTGTCAGTAGTATCAAATACTACTGATTTGCTGATTGCCTGATTCCCATTATAAGTGTGTTTTACTTACACATATGTAAATATTAATTAAAACCTCATGATGGAATTACTGCCTTATACAGTCTTAATCATTTTCTCCTTTTTTGTTGCCATTTTATAAACTACTGTAAACCACAGGAAATGGATTTTTTCCAAAGATGTGTTAATAGTCTCCAGACATCCCCATTTCTTATATCCCATTAGAAGTAAAAAGAAAGTATCCAGTATACTCAATACCAATATGAAGCCAGTAAACAAACAAATATACACCCCCACAAGAGAAAAATTCAATTCAAGTTGGGTTGGGGTGGGGGAGGGGAGAAGGGGATTGGTGCTCCCACCTAATGGGCACAGTGTAAGGGTATGGCACCCCTCCTGGGTACAAGACACAACTAAAAAAGAGACATTACCTAACAGACACTGTAACCTAATTGTACCTTCATATTAATCTGGAAATTTAAAAGAAAAAGAAGCAAAAAGAATAAAATTCCTGTTTACTCAACCTATAAATAAATTACCCATAATCACTGTTAAGCTTTTGTTCTCTGGCCTTCCAAACGTTTTAGGTATATGTACACATATGTGAGTAGTAAATAAGTACTTAATTAAGATAATAGCCCTTTCTTATTATTGTAAAAGTCCTTTTACTTCCTGTGAACAAGTACATGAAAACCTTTCTTTGATGTTTTTCAGATGGACTGAGCTGTGTCCAATGATTGAGGCCAGGAAGAATCATGGGCTAGTGTTTGTAAAAGACAAGATATTTGCTGTGGGTGGTCAGAATGGTTTGGGTACGTAATATTAACTCACTGTCCTATTTTCCTGATGAATATGCTGATACTTCCTTAAATTATTGAATCATTTCTTTCTTAAAATCTAGATACAAGCATTTACCATGTATACCATTATACCTACTTTTATAGTTTCTAGGAACATATTTGATGAAACACCGCAGGACATGAAACATCCCTGTCTATGAAATGTTAGTAGAGGCCACTAGTCATTGTGGCAATCTCAGATGCCTCCCATCCAGTCCTGGTTGCTCCCTGGGGAATGGTATTAATCCAGTTTAAGAACTATTGAGCAGTAGAAACATTTGAGCTTTTTTTTTTTTTTTTTTTTGAGACAGAGCCTCAAGCTGTCCCCCTGGGTAGAGTGCTATGGCATCACAGCTCACAGCAACCTCCAACTCCTGGGCTCAAGTGAGTCTCCCGCGTCAGCCTCCCAAGTAGCTGGGACCACAGGTGCCTGCCACAACACCCAGCTATTTTTTGGTTGCAGCCATCATTGTTGTTTGGCGGCCCAGGCTGAATTCAAACCCGTCGCCTTAGGTGTATGTGGCTGGCACCTTAGCCACTTGAGCCACAGGCGCCGAGCCGAAACATTTGAACTTTTAAAAACATTTTAAATACAAGCTTTAAGACTTGTGTCCAGGTTCTAAATGGCCGAGTTTCCTAAACATTTTAAAATATGGCATGAAAACATCAATATTATTTTTTAAATGACTAATTTTGGTCTTTTCATTTTCTTAAATAATGATGTACTAAAAACAATCTTAACGGCCAGGCGCAGTGGCTCACACCTATAATCCTAGCACTCTGGGAGACCAGCGTGAGCAGCCTGAGACCAGCCTGAGCAAGAGCGAGACTCCGTCTCTAAAAATAGATGGGTGTTATGGTGGGCATCTGTAGTCCCAGCTACTTGGGAGGCTGAGGCAAGAGAATCACTAGAACCCACGAATTTGAGGTTGCTGTGAGCTATGATACCAGAGCACTCTACCAAGGGTGACAAAGTGAGACTGTCTCAAAATAAATAAATAAAAACAATCTTAAGTAATTGTGTTAAATAACAGGGATTCTGAACTGAATCTAGAGATTATCCACAAGCTTCATTTTAGTCAGTATACTTAACATAACATTACAAATGACTTCTGTCCCTTCACTATCCCCATCCCTTGCTATTTTCCATAAACTGATAAAAGAAGGAAAAGGAAGGGCATCTGCATAATTATAATCAAAGGTAATAGAAAGGGAGATCACTGACGAGATTACTTTTTGATTTTTCCAGAATAAAGACATGTAGAATATTTTTAATTTTGTGGGAAAAAATATTGATATCTAAAAATTAAATTTCTAGACCAGGCTCATGCCTATAATCCTAGCACTTTGGAAGTCTGAGTCAGGAGGATCACGGGAGGCCCTCAGTCCAAGACTGTGGTGAGCTGTGATGACACCACCGCACTCCAGCATGGATGACAGAGCAAGACTGTTTTAAAAAAAGAAATAAAATAAAAGTAAAATAAATTTCCATTGTGTTAAAGAAGGAATAGGAATTTAGATAGTAAATATGTGAGCATTCATTATAAAATTTTTTTTGTTTGTTTTTGAGACAGAGTCTCACTGTTTCACTCTGGGTAGAGCATCCTGGTATCACAGCTCACAGCAACCTCAAACTCCTTTGCTCAAACAAGCCTCAGCCTCCCAAGTAGCTGGGACTACAGGTGCCCACCACAACACCCAGCTGTTTTTTAGAGATGGGGTCTTACTCTTAGAGATGAGGTCTTACTCTTGCTCAGGCTGATCTCGAACTCCTGAGCTCAAACAATCCACCCACCTCAGACTCCTAGAGTGCTAAAATTACACATGTGAGCCATTGTAAAATGTTTATAGCTTTTCTGTGTGTTTGAAGCTTTTATAATAAAACGTTGGAGAGGCTCAGCGCCTGTGGCTCAAGCAGCTAAGGCGCCAGCCACATACACCTAAGGTGGCGGGTTCAAATCCCCAGCCCGGGCCCGCCAAACAACAATGATGGCTGCAACCAAAAAATAAATAAATAAATAAAATGTTGGAGAAATGCAAAAACAAATTACTATTTTAAGATAATTGTTCATATGGTTTTTCATGTTGTTCATGTTTTATTCTCTTAAAGGTGGTCTGGACAGCGTGGAATATTATGATATCAAATTGAATGAATGGAAGATGGTCTCACCAATGCCATGGAAGGGTGTAACAGTGAAGTGTGCAGCAGTTGGCTCTATAGTTTATGTCTTGGCTGGTTTTCAAGGTGTGGGTCGATTAGGACACATTCTTGAATATAATACTGAAACAGACAAATGGGTCGCCAATTCCAAAGTCCGTGCTTTTCCAGTCACAAGTTGTTTGATTTGTGTTGTTGATACTTGTGGAGCAAATGAAGAGACCCTTGAAACATGAAAAAGGAGTAGACTTCAAGACTTCTTAGACCCAAAACAATATGGCCACCAGTGCTTTGTTCCAAGAGTTTGGTTATGATTGTTCCAAGAATTTGGTTACAAAGTTTTGGTTCGATGTTGTGGTAAAGTTTCAAGTGAAGTAAGGTCCCTATAAAATATTTCTTTTATGTGGATTTCCTTACTTAATTCAAAGACCATATTTTAGCTGGCCACATAACCAAGAACGTATCTAGCAAGAAAACTTGAAAACTTATAAAACATCTGGTGAAAATATGAATTTCTTGAATGAATTTCACATTTGTAACTATGATTTTTGACAGAGTAGGAGATTGGCTTATCAGAGAAGCAGCCTCATCTTAGCTCTAGATTTTATTTTCATACATCACAAATATGCTATGTGGTTAGGTCTGTCTGTTTCTGTTCAATCAAGAACTAAGAAATAGTATGAGTTGTAAGTCAAGATGGGCAACTGTGAGGGAACGGCTTAGTCTCACATAATTTTGCTTGTCTTCATTTGTTCCATTTAGTGCCAAATGTATTCCATTTTAAAAGCAAGCCAGAGTGAATCAAGGTATATACAGTTTCTCACAAAACTTCACACACAGATTTGGGGACTTACTCTGTCCAGCTCCTCGTGAAGTATATTCAATCCATTGAATATATTCCATCTTTTTAACATGAAATGTCAGTAGTACCCATCATTAACTTAAGTCACTCTTTTACTTGATGGATAAAAAAGGATTCTGCTTCTTCAGTCCTCACCATTAAGTAAAATCCAATCATAAGAATGATTAACTAGCAAAATATAAAGCTGTTTATGGCAGATTTCTAGATTATTAGAAAAGCAGTGATTGTTATACCATAATTATCAGTGCTGACTTTGAATTTCTTATGGATCAAAAAGATAAATAATTTCTTTTCCCTTAGCAGAACACACCAACTCAGTTGTCTCTTAAAGTTTTCTAATAATATGATTTAAATAGATGTCATTTCCTATTCATTGTTTTTATGTGGTTAATAAATCTTTTACAAACCCCCCTACTCATTTCTGTCCTTGTAATGTTTTTGCCCTTTCACTGTGTGTGGAATGAGCCATGTAAAACTGTCACCATCGATGTTTTTATCTGATCATATTAAATATTTTTTAACTTAAAACAGACTGCTCAGTTCTATTCCGTCTTCATTTTAAATGTGCAAGGTAATGGTTATTAGAATTTGTGAAGCAATGTCCTGTTTAATTTTCATGGTTTTCTTTATTTGGAGGGTATAATAGTTTTAAACCCTAAAAATGTTTAAATTAAAAAGGAATTAGAAAACATATAGGAATACTTAGGTTGGTATTTTTAAATTTATATCACAGCTTTACTGAGATATAATTCACATACTATACAATTCATTTCTTTAAAGTGCACCATTGAGTGGTTTTTAGTGTATCCACAGAGTTGTGCCATCACAATTTCAGAACATTTCCTTTACCCCAGGAAGAAAGCCTGTGCTCATTAGCAATGACTCCCTATTTTCCCCTTTATTAGTTTCATAGGGCTGCTATAAAAAATTACCACAAATGTGGTATCTTAAAACATTAGAAATTCATTCTGTCCCAGTTGAGGAGGCCAGAAGTCCTGAATCAAGATGTCAACAGGATCGGTTCCTTCTGAAGGATATAAGGCAGATGGCCTGTGCCTCTCCTCCAGTTTCTGGCCGGTGCCAGCAATCCTTGGTATTCCTTGGCTTGTAGCTGCATCGCTTCATTCTCTGCCTGTCTTCACATGGTCTTTTTACCTCATTTCCCTACGTCTTCACACTGTGTTCTCATAAAGACATCATAGCCACCCCCTCCTCAATTCAGTATGACCTTGTTTCCAAATGAGGTTACATTCTAAGGTTCTGAGCAGAAATGAATTTTGCAAGGAGACTATTCAACCCAGAAAACCCTTCTAAACACCCTAATCCTAGGCAACCACTAACATACTTTCTGTCTCTAGTTCTGACTATTCTGACCATTTTGATATAGGAATTTGAATTTTGCACTTTACTGTCAATATGTGGGGGGGGGAGTTGAGGGCAGATTATCATTTACAATATGGTTATATTAACTTAATATGATCTCCCTTATTTTAAGTAGATTAGTCTTTTTAGACTGTCAACTAACTAGAACACACTATAACAAGTATATAGATTAGTTTGATGTAGGTTATAATAAGTTTTTTTCTCATAGTAATCTATCAGAATTCCTAATTAGTGTCTATTCTGTTAATACCAGAATGAGTAAAAGTATACCATATTGACAAGTACATTTTCTACTACCCCCCCCAAAAATCCTATATTGTCAAGTGCTCTACTTTCTTTTTAGTAGACATTTGATATGTTATTGTTATATCTTTTGCAGTGACACTATTGTGATGACAGCAGTTCAGTTCATACTGTCAAAAACTGCAATTTGAACATGAGAGCTTAGCATCTTGGGAAAAAATAACTTGCTATAAAAAACAGTAATTACAATTGTGACTTTGTGGCCTAGCTTTCAAAAACTTGACAGTCTCATGAACAATTTTGAGTCATAGATTATCTTGCTATATCATTAACAAAATTAAGATGAGCCATTTAGTAAATAATTATTCAAGCAAGCAGCCTATATTCCTTTTGTATTATATATATTCTGTTACCGTGAAAAATTGTGAATTTGCTACAGCCAGAGTAAAGGAGATCATTGAAGGAATTTTTGCTTTTTAAGATTGATACTCTTAACATATACCCAAGACTTCAGAAAAATCCGGTTTATTCCAACATGGCACCAAAACAGCTCTCAAATCCAAATAATTTCATAACATAAAAGGACTTTATAAGTTGCATCATTCAACACTCGATAAATTTTTCCTTTAAATATCCTCCTTCCTCTACAGTCACTTCAAAAGACTTTTACAGCTTGAATCTACTTTCATCTTTCTAAGTTTCCTCCTTTCCAAGATGTTTTAAACTACTCTAGGAAAAAATCAAATAAAAAAATACTCTGTGTGGGAAAGTTGTGTAGTATATATATTATCCTTACTAACTAGAAAGCTTTTTCACTTTCCAAAACTTGATGCCCTCATAACAAAGATGTAAAATGGGGTTCAAGATCTAGAGTCTTATAAAGGGTACCCTGGACTTTATCTTCCAGCCCTCTAATTAGTTCCCACTATCCATGTTTTCCAGAAGCATTTTCTTTTCGTGATTGCTCTTTTCCATAGTTAGGTGTTCTTGTTCATACTATCTCTGAGAATATTTTCTTTGACGTTTTGTATACCCTTATGGTATGTTTTTGTTTCCTCTACCTTCATTTTCTGTTTTCTTCATTCTTTCCTGTTGGTCTATGCTCAAATATATGGTCCCTGGCTGTACATTTTTACTGAAAATAAGACACTTAAAAATTGACAACTTGGAGGGTGGAGGCAAGATGGCAGACTGCAGCCAGCTTTCCACAGAGGCTCCCGTCCAGAAGGAGAGTTAAAAGACAGAAGTTTAGCAAGTCAGCTGATGGTTTAAAGCTGAGCCAAAAGGGAAGATTGAAGAACACACATCAACCCTGCTGAGGCAAGCTGCAACCCCAATGATAACAAAAGTACAAAAGGTACTAAATCCATGGCCAAGCGGATGGGAGTCCCCTCCCCCATGAGAAGGGCTCGCAGTAAACTCCATACAGGCAAGCAAGCAGAGTTCAAACATCCTCCCATTCTATCCCACGGGAGAGACCCTCTAAAAATTGGACCTCCTATACCTGCTAGGTTGCCATGGCATTCCCTGCCAGGCATAAAGCTGTATACAACTATATATATTCTCTACCTGCAATTTTGAACTCCCAGCACTCCACTCTCACCTCGAAGTCTGGGAGCCTATCCCCAGTGGAGTCCAGATTCTTGGGCATTTTCTCGAGATGTATAGACGGAACAGGGGCTGTTTCTGGTCTGTGCTGATTCTGCGGCACAGGAGTGAGGAGAGGATGGTCAGCTGAGAAGGAACCACGCAGGAGCGGCAGCAGTGGGAACAATAAGGCTCACGATCCTGAGGCTTTTCTGAACAGACACACTGTCTCTCTGGGAAACCAGAGGAAGCTAGGCATCTTCTCTGGTAACAGCCACTGAAGGAACAGATCTCCCTGTAGTAAAGGGAAGGCGGCCTGAGGCAGTAGCAGCTTGGGCAGAGCTTAGGGACTAGAATATACGCACACAGAGCTGGCCAACTCCCGCTCCAGGGCTGAGCCAGAGGACTGCTTTATGGAGGCTAAGATGCACCTGGCCCTCAAGGGATCATAGCTGAGACAAAGGCAGGCAGACAGAGGCTAGAACTGACAGCTTAATTGTTTGCCACTGGCTGGGCCTCAGTCACGGTTTCTGTCAACTCAAGCAGCGTCTGATCCTCAGGGGACATCTGCAAAGTTGTTCTGTCCTGTTCTGCCAGCAACATCAATCAGGGGTGGGGCTGGAACTGAGTGAACCACCCCAGCCTCCATTAAGCACCCGAGGTTGTCAGGCCACACCTCCCCCTACCAGATAGTGGCAGAGAGCAGTGGCCTGGCTCAGGACATATGGATCTCCCTGTCATTCAGGCAGTTGTAAACCCCTGGAGCATCTGCTCATTGCAGGGAACTGGGTCACAGCCCTGTGGGGTTAGCAGTGACTGGATGTAACACAGGTGTAAGGTGGGGAATGAGGCATCAACCTTCCCAAACTAATTTATTTGCTGGGTGGGTCCTTCTGACCTCACAGAGCACCAGAGCAAGTCATACTTGAGCTGCCAGCAGACTCCTGCTGTCTAGTTGCCGGAGACCTTTTGAACTCTCCCACCTGAGACCAGTGCTGACTGGGACAATTGATTTGGACCTCTTGAACTGGGCCAATCACCCAAGGACTATCCAAAGTGGTACTCTGGTTGTGTGGTTGCGGGAAGGTTTGATTTTCCTTTTCCAATTGTTGCCTGTGGGGGGCGGGATGACTTAATTGCTGGTATTTCTCCACAGCTGAAACTTCAACCCAGAGTAACTGATTCACTAGGGTAGGACAGAGACCAGCTGAAAACAAGACAGAGCCACATAGCCCCAGCACACCAAGCAGGCCCCTAGGTACCCAGGCCTAGCACTGTACTGGTCTTTGGCAAAGCTCTAGGGGAAAAGGTACAGACCCCAGTCCCAGCTTTTGGGCAAAGGACTAGTTAACCACTACTCCTGGAGCCCCCAACCCAACCTCTCCTAATCTGCTCATCTAGCCAAACGGTATAAAATAAGCATGGGGCAGTATCAGCAGAAAAATTCCAGTAACATGAATAACCAGAGTAGATCACCCCCACCCACCCACCCAAGGAAGGATATGGCAGGTGCAATTGAAGACCCCATTCATAAACAGATGGCTGAGATGTAAGAAATTGAGTTCAGAATCTGGATAGCAAAGAAGATCAACAGAATGGAGGAAAGGAGGGAATTAGAATTTCAAGGAATTATGCAAAAGATGTCTCAAGAATTCAATGATTTCAAAGATAAAATGACCAAAGATTTTGACACATTGAAGCAAGAGCTTGCAGCCCTCAAGATCTGAAGAATACAGTAGTATCCCTTAGCAACAGAATGGAGCAGGCAGAAGAAAGGATCTCTGACACTGAAGACAAAGCTTTGAACGTGCCCAGGCGCTCAAAGGGGAAGAGAAATGCAGAGCAAAAACAGATCATTGTCTCAGAGAGCTCTGGGATAATTCAAAGATAACTAATATTCACCTTACAGGAATCCCTGAAGGTGACGAAGTTGCTTCACAAAACACAGAGGCTCTTCTTCGTGAAATTATGAAAGAGAACTTTCCAGACATGCCAAGAGATTCTGAAATTCAGATAGCAGACAGTTTTGGAACCCCAGCACAACTCAACCCAAATAAGACATCCCCCAGGCACATCATAACTAACTTCACTAAAGTTAATATGAAAGAGAAAATTCTGAAAGCAGCTAGACGTAAGGAAACCATAACCTACAAGGGTAAGAATATTAGAATGACTGCAGATCTCTCTGCTGAAATCTTTCAGGCTAGAAGAGGGTGGTCATTGATTTTAATCTCCTAAAACAAAATAGCTTTCAACCTAGGATCCTGTATCCATCTAAACTGAGTTTCATTTATGATGGAGAAATTAAATACTTT